GGAGTCACGGAACGCATTAAGTTCGTATCCTGAGGTACCACTGTATAAGCAGTCTAGCTCCCTCTGTGTCATCAAACTTATAAGGCTATGTATGCAAATGGGATTTTTTTTTTTTTTTTTTTGGCATAAATTGACAAAACTGAGGATGGGGTTTCCTATTGTATCCTGTTTCAGTAGATTCAAAATGGATGATTAATGTAATTCAAGCAGCAGCTATAAGTGTTGTTGGGGTAGGTGCTACTGAAATCAACATGCTTAGCATTGTAATAGTCCATACTGAGATCTAACACTCTGAAAACACTTATTTCCTTCCTTTCTAAGTGGGAATGATGATGATGATGATGATGCCACCCAACTCCCAGTGGAAGTGAAATCAGTATTCACAGGGCAGGGGGAGAAACCGGGTGTCATTTAAACATGGATCAGTATGATTGTTGGACATGGGTAATATAATCACAGCAAGAAACATTTATTTAGGGTGCACATATCTTTTAGATTATCATTGCTGAAGGCAGAAAAATTGAGAACCCCAACTACAGGAAAATCACAGCTATTTTTTTCCCCCATATTATTTATATTGAAAAGTAAGCTCTAGGTTAATTCTAACAGGATTCCACCTTGAAGAAATCATGAAATTAAACCTTAGATTTTCAGTGAAATTAAATAGTGGTAAAGTTAGAAAATATATGCACATAAATATTTTAGCAGCTGTTTAGCATGTTTAGTGTGTAGATGTAACAGCCTCAGAATCATATTTGTTTGTATCAATGTTTAGCCCATTTTTCAGTTAAATATAATCCCAATTTTGTTTTGATGAACAGCCTAAGACAAATTTATGGATATAAAATGGCACCAATGTCTTTTAGGTATGATAATTACAGGTAATCCTTGCTTAATGACAGTAATTGGGACCACAGTTTCCATTGCTAAACGATGTCGTAAAGTGCAATATTGACCACAAGTGACCACATTGCTTAGTGACAGCAATCCCAGCAGTCCCCATTGCTGAAAAGTGAGGATCATGGGTTGTTAAGCAAGGACCTTACGTGACCGCGACTTGTGACTTCTTGCTGGCTTCCTACAAGGAAGAGAAGCTGGCAGGAAGTCGAGTCCTGGGCGGCTTGCAAGCAGGCCAGTGGGTGGGTCAGTGGTTTGGAGTGAAGCTGGGTGGGAGGGTGCTGTGGTGCGAGTGTGTGGGCTGGGGGGAGGGTGCTGCAGCGCCAGTGCATGTGGGCAGGGGAACGGGTGCTGTGGCACTGCATAACTGCCTGTGGGCAGGGGGTGCTGCAGTGCTGCACAAGTGCATGTAGACAGGGGGGGGTGCTGTCGTACGGCTGGGTGGATGGACACTGTGGGTAGGGGGTGCTGCAGGTGGGCATACATTATGGGATCCCTGGGATCTCGTACTCTATAATAGGACTTCTCAGGAGAAGAAGCAGCAGAAGTGACTTACAACCTTCCCTGCCAACTTCGCCATTGACTTTGCTTGTGGGAAACCAGCAGGAAAGGTCACAAATGGTGATCACGTGACCACAGCATGCTGCAACTGTCGTAAGTGCAAACTGGTTGCCAAGTGTCTGGATTGTGATCATGTGACTGCAGGCGTGCTGCAACTGGAACTTTGAGGACCGATCGTAAGTACCATTTGTTAGACAATTAGAAAAGAGTTATGGAAGATAGTTTTTACATATGATACCTGCTGCAAGATTATTATATGCACAAAAATGGAAAGACTCAAATGGCTGATGAAGATGACAGTATTAGCAGAAATGGCAAAATTGACTTGTCTGATCAGAGAAAGGACAATAACCACATTAATTTGTGACTGGAAACCCCTTACTGACTTTCTGCTGAAAAAACAAAATGAACTTGATTTATGACTTTGATAGTTAGAAAGAGAAAGAAGAAAATTATGTTGTAACTTTTGAGAGAGGTTAAAATGTAAATATACTGTACTTGTAACTGCTGTTAAGAAATTCAGAAGCCACTTCTTTATAACTTTTTATTCTTTTCCTTTCTTTGTACCTTTTTTCACTTAATTCTTTTTATTTCAAAATTTGTATTGTTTTTATTCTCTTAAAAATTTCTCTAATAAAAATTATATGTAAGTAACTACTACTTGTTTAGCACCGTCGCAACTTTGAACAGCTGTTGAACAAGTGGTTGTTAACCAGGGACTACCTGTATCTCAAATAATGTTCAAAGTTCATATGCTGGAAGCTGCAAACAGAGTCCTCACAATCATGCTCTGACATTTCACAACTGTTTTACTACCACTGCATAAAACACAGTGCTGGACAGATAAGGCATTAGTTGATGAAATAATTACATTCTCACAATAGTTTTGTAATTACTTAGGCTTTGGACTTAAGCACATTCTTAACCCTTTAAGTTGGATTTGTTTTCTTTGGACTTGTGATCTTCAGGTGTGAATGCTTAGCAAAATTTTCAGATCACGAAACAGAACTTCAGGTCATTGAAACAATAGTATGTTTGCACTATGAGCAATTCCTTTATATTAAATGAAAATGAAAGTCAAACATTCAGGTAAGGATGAATCACTGCTGGATTCACATACAGCGTGAAGGTGCGGCTTACTGAAGAACCCAAAATTTGCTAGGTTCCCACATAATAATCAACCAAAACAACCAAGCCGTATTATGGCTTAACATGCTGTGTAAACCTGACCATTCCTTGTGATGCAGCTTTGATGCAGACTTGTAAATTGAGCTGTGCTCCAACAAGAATGACACCTGAATCTGATAATCTCCAGGGATGTTCAAGACTAATTTTTACTTGCCCAAGATGAATACATAGTTCTAATCAACCAGCCCCAATTCAAGACCCACATGTAATTCTAATCTCAATGTGTTGTTCCAGAACTTAAAAGGTTTCCATATAAATGATCTCTGCCATCTTGGTGGTATTACAGCAGCTGCTTCAAGTTCTTGTCCTGAGTGGTTCTGGGCGGCAGTCCCTCTCTCGCAAATTGCAGTTGTGACCAGCAGGATTATTTCTCTATGCTGTCATTACCATTCTTATTCCTGCTTTTCTTTTCATTCCCCTCTTTTTTCCAGCCTGTCTCTTCCTTTTGAAACATAGGTAATTGTAATTATTTCATTTTCATTTGAAATCAACTTTTTTTTTTCATTTTTCAGTGGGAGTTTTATTTAATGGCCCCTCATGTATTTATCCCTCCTACAAATAATTGTTTCAGGGCCCCTTTTTTTAACAGTGAAAACTATCATTGTATGTGTCTGGTTTATTTCTGTCTTTTGGCCTAATAAACAGAATACCCCCTGCTCTATTTTGTCCTTGTTGATCCATGTCTGTGTATGTTCACAATTAGGTTGTTTTCTCCCCCTCTATTACTCTTTCTGCTGGCCCATGATTTGTGCCTATCAAAAGACTCAGGTAAGAGTCATGCTATGGGCAAGAATCAGTCTTAAAACGTCCAGGTTTGGAGACAGCTACTATTTCCTTTGGGCCCCCAAGGTTGAAGGGTTGTGGGATAGGCCAGGGTGAGGGAGAAACTGGCAGCACCGGAGCCAAGTTTTCTGCCACATTCCTAGTTCAGCAGAAGGTCCAGAGAAATGGCAGGACATCCTCATAGCTCCACAAGGGTGCAGGAAGAGTAGGAGGTTTTCTGCAGCCATAGTCCTTCCCCTGTAGGGGGTGAGCGCAGGTGCTCCCAGTGGTCTTGCCACCTTCATCCTGGGAACAGAGTGAAGTGATGGCATATTCTAGTTATCTCTATGCACTGCTGCTAAAGTTCAGAATGATGGAAAGCATGAAGACCATTACCGTACCAGCAGGTGGATATAGTATGTGAAGAGGCATTATTCCATGCATTAGATTATAGGAGAAGCCCAAAAATCAGGCAGCAAAAGCCTTGCAGTAGCAGAGCAGAAAAAGCTAAGTTCCCTCCACCCCAAAAGATTAGACATTTTCAACATTACCTTCTACCTGATATCATTGCAGCATTGGGCATGGTCACAGAAGCCAAAAGTAAAATAAAAAATGAGTGCATTCATCAGCTGGAAAAAAAATGTCTATCCCACACTATTTAACACATTAAAAATAATCTGAAAGCTGCCTCATGCAAATAACATACGTGTGAAGAAATAATGGGGACTAATTGAGGGTGTTCTCCATGCTGGTACATCTCTCATTTTAAATCACTGCATCTGGCTTTTTATGCCTCTTCCTTAGTAAGTGATAACTTTCTTTTTTTATTTTTTTAACCATTACAATGTGTGTTCTCACTTAGAAATGTTTATGAGTTCTTCAGTAATAAAATGCTTATGTTGCCATGGGAACATTGTCACTTTTGGAAAGGGTAATTATGATGTGTTGGAATGCCAAGGAAATCTGTTCTGCCATCATGCTGATATGAGGAACAAATAGATATTCATCTGTAAGTCATTAAGGGCCATTTATTTATGAAAAAGGAAGCCTCAACTGTAAATGTATACATAAATGAGAAATGGAAAGTTGCACCTGAGCGGACAATTCAGCGTATTGCTTCCTGTCCCAAGATTTTCTGTAATAAAAAAGGAATAGGTCAAAAAACATTTTGTCCCATTAGTCAGGAACAATTTTGTAAAAGATATTGTACAGGCGAGGAAATGTCTGAAGTCAATTACACTGTAATAAGGTTTATTCTAATAACAATTATTGTTTGGCTTGTTCTCTGAGTGTTTTTGCAAGTCCTTCTTTTACAAAAATTATCATCTCTGCAAGTTCCCTTGTTCAACTGTTTTACATTCTGCAGCTGTCTTAGCTTGATTCTACAGACTACATGCATTTTTCCTCTTCCTCAGTACATTTCAAGAAGAGGTAACATCTCCTTCAACTTCCCACAATTGCTTCCTGTCACCTGAAAACAAAAATAGAATTTAACACAATGTGGAGAAAATAGAATTTTTTCAATGAAGGTAAAATTTCCCAGGAAACCATATACAATTTGTGGCCTACTTTTTGTTCATTTCCTCTTCCTGAATGGATAGTACTCTCAAGATCCATTCATTTCAGGCAGGCTATAACTATATAAATATATTTAAATAAATGAATATTGTTAACCCTAATTCCTTAACTAAGAAAATGTCTATCAAGTCCAGCACCTTCCTACAATTGCCAAAAGGTTCTGGGCAGCTCAAAACTAAGTCTTACTAGGAATAATCCTCCCTTGCTGATGTAACTTGTTCCCTGCTGAGGGACGAGTCACAGGACCAACTGCAGGGCTGCTGTGAGGAATATTCTAGGCATCTAGCAGATATAATTACTCAGAGTCCAATGGAGTTGGACTCTGACTAGACTAGACACTATCAAGGTGATAGAAGCAAGGTCTTGTGTGGGATGTGATTAAACCTGTAACTCCTGAGGAGGTGCGCAGGATTCTTGAGTCTACTAACCCAACCACGTATGTATTAGATCCATGTCCTTCCTGGTTGGTGAAGGGTATTCAGAGGTAGTGGTGCAATCCCTCTTCAAGAGGCCTCGTTTGGACCAAACTTTACTGTATACTTCTTATGGAAGGTTGGGGAGAAGATGGTGGGGATGCCACCGCAGAGGACCCCGGAGGAAAACAATTATCTGGAACCTTTTTAGTTAGATTCAGGCACAGACATAATACTGGCACAGAACTGGTCACACTTGATGATGTTTGGCAGAGCTAGAATGGATGTAGTACAGGTAGTCCTCACTTACCAACCATAATTGGGACTGGCAACTCCATTGCTAAGCAACATGGCCATTAAGTGAAATGTCACGGGACCATGCAGGATTTAGGATGTCAGTTCTGCTGCAGTCATTAAGTGAATCACCACGCATCATTGTGCGCAACATCATGTGATAGTCACTTGCGACTTCCTGCGGGCTTCCTCATTGACTTTTCTTGTTGGATGCCAGCTGTGAAGGTCACAAATGGTGATCATGGAACACTGAGGCCATTGTAAATGCATGCCATTTGCAAAGCACCCAAATTGCAATCATGTGGCCTCAAGGACATTACAGTGGCTGCAACTTTGAGGACTGGTTGTAAACCTACTTTTTCAGAACTGTCGTAACTTCGAATGATCACTGAAGGAGGCAGTCAGTAAGTGAGGACTACCTGTAGAACCATCCTGTTTCTTCTTGATCTCTTAGTGGTTTTTGATACCATTGACTATGATATCCTCCTGTTCCACTTGCAGGGATTGGGAATGGGAGGCACAGTGCTGCTATGGTACACCTCCTTTCTCTATGGGTCAGGTCCAGTCAGGGTTGACAGGTGTAAGGGATATCTCAGGGCTTGGTCCTTCTGTTTAACATCTACATGAGGCTACTGGGCAAGATCATCCATCAGTTTATGGTCAGGTATCATCAATATATAGATGATACCCAATTACACATACACTCTAGACCAACCAAGCAATGCTGTCAAGATCTTGTTAAGTGTCTGGAGAGTATGGGGGAACTGGATGGAGACAAGACTAAGTGGCTCTAGGTTTCTGACCCCTTGGGGCTGGGAATCTTTCAACTTTAATCCTGAAAGTGCTAAGTCCAGCACCTGTGGCTAAGAAGCACAAATCCATCTTGTACTCTAATTGTGCCCTTACCTGGACAGGGAGGCCCTCCAGACAGTCACTCATGCTTTGATCACTTTGCACGCAGACTATTGCAATGCCCTATACATGGGGTTACTTATGAAAAGTATTCAGAAACTGCAGCTAGTTCAGAATGCAGCACATAAGCAATTATGGGTATAGCTTTGCTCCATGAGTTGTACTGTTTACAAGTAGGCTTCCAGGTGCAATTCAAGGTGCTAGTTATTTACCTATAAAGCCTAGTTATCTACAGGACTGCCTGTCTTCTGTGGTTTCCACCCAGCTTGTATGATCAAACAGAGTTGGCATGCTCCAGGTCTCATCTATTAACCAGTGTCATCCAATGAGTCCTAACAACCATGCCTTCTCTATCACAGTACCTGCCTTCTGGATCACCTGGCCCCTAAGATAGTATGTCTGGCCTCTGACCTGGCCATTTTTAAAAGAGTTGGGAAAACTTGGCTTTTTCCCCAGGCCTTGGGTTAGAGTGAGTGGTGGGTCCTGTGTTTTATCATTTTTCAATGGTTGTTCTTCTTCCAGATGCTTGGGTTTTTAATTGTATTTTAGGATTCTTTTTACTGTATGTCACCTAGAGTTGTTATAGAGCTGTGTGACCTTATACATTTAATAAACAAACAATAAATGGGATAGGTCTGGAAACACCAGTGTGGAGCCCAGAGGGTTCCAAAGTACCCACAGATACATCTCTTGGTATCTGCCAAGCTGTCTGTTGGACCTGACCTATTACAGTAACATATTATTTTAATTTTTGAAAATAAAAGCTAGCATGTTGTTAGCCTCCAGCTCCAATTGCTATTTTCAAGAATACTTCTGGGCTGCACATATGGAATCTTAGAAAATTAAACAAAGAGAAAAACAAAGAGTTGTTTTGGTTGACAGTGTGCCCATATGCCCAGAAAAAGGACAAAGGTAAGCAGGGGCAAGAGACTTTCTGGAAGGATGGGGTACAGAGATGGATGCAGAGTAATTGTTAATTAATGCCTGCTTTGTACCTGGTTATGTCTTCTGCATCAGCCACTTTGTGAGAACACCCAAATGCTCTCATAATTCCAAATCCAGTGGAATTATAAATGCTTAATTCTGACTAAATTCTTGCAGTCTCAAAACCCACATATTACATCTCTCTCTGCAACTTCTGTCCATAAATGAGAGTTATATTTATTGAGGAGATTCTAAATTTCTCTTTTACTAATGCTTTCATTCATTAATGAATGCCATGGTGTTCAGATTATATGTGTGTTCTTCTAGATCATAATGGAGTTACTAAACTGAATTCTTCCAATTTAGAAGAATTGGAGGAAGAAAGAGAGAGGCTGTCTTTAGAATAGTATTTATGGTCCACTTTCCTTTTCTTAAGCTCTCAGACCAGAGCAATATACGGATGTCACATTATGTCATGCCCTTGTGTACATGATTTCCACAACTTCCAGAGAGAGATACATACAAATATGATGTTACTCATTTTTCAGCATGGTTATTACTAAAGAAAGCAAAAACTGCATTTTTTAAAGAATATAATGTAATTTGGATTACCATTCATCTGCCAAGGGGAAGATTCCATATACATACCTGGCAATATTAAATGAATGTTGGTCCATCATTCTAAGAAGAAGGGAGTGTGTTTATTCTTGTATTCTGCACAATTCAAACTTCGTACTGAAGGACCTTCCTGCTTAAACCCCAATCTAAAATTTAGCCTAAATAACAAGTGTCAAAATCCCATTTGATATATCAAATGCCTGGTTATTGTTTATTTACTGATTGCTTCCTTCTTCATTGTTTGTTTAGCAGTATCTAAAAATGGGTAGATAAAGTGCTTCCTATTGTTTGGAGTTACTAAATTACAGCTCCAAAATAATCAGTTCTTTTATGTTCATAGGATGTTCTCATTATTGTAGTATTTTGACTAGGTCCAAACTGAAATGGAGAAGCAAGGGACTGTCTTACCAGTTACATCCCCTCCTCTTTATGTGATGTTTCAAGGGTCGCGCTAGTGTTTAAAGAGTTCTTCCATTAATAATTGCAGGGGGCAAGAATTGTAACATAGCTGACCTAGCTGATCTCAAAAAACTAAGTAATCAGATCTGGTTAGTATTTGGATGGAAGATCACCAGGAGATTCCAGTAGGATAGACTGGAAAATGGGGAAAAAATATCCTGGAAGAAGGCAATGGAAACCACTTCCATATTGTTGCCAACCACCACCACTGCCATCCCAGCCTACATTTTCATGAAGTCATCATAAGTCATGCTTGACTAAAGACTTAATCTTTTCGCCAGAAATAATTGGGCTAAATCATGTTCCATGGGAAGGGGGAAGAGTAAAAAAATTCAGGATGGTGATTGCAGCAGTACGATCGAAGCCCCACCCTTCTGTACCTGTTCTTCCTTCTACACTGTGACATCTGGATTATTTGATGTCTTCTTGTAAGACAACATAGGAAGACAGATAACAACACCTGCTTTCCATGGCATCTCATCCTTCTCCTTGAAACAGGCTTCATTTTTTTCCCTATCCTGTCCTGTCCTGTCCTGTCCTATCCATTTCCTATCTTCTTCAAAATCTAATAATCTTGTGGTTTCAGTTAATCTGGAACAGGAGACATTCCCGGTGGTGCTTTAAACCTTCAAATTTGCCCAGAAGAAAATTAGCTTTTTTAGTTATAATGTTTAGCAATTGCATCTGATCATGACTCAGAAGTCCAGAAGTTTTTTTTTTAAAAGCACTGCATTTGCTTACATGAAGTTCTTAGTTTAAACTTCAGTGACATTAAATACTGACTCATGAGGATGAGTTGACAGTGACAACATCTCATAAACAATAGAAAAAAAATCAAGATGATAAAAGTATAGCTGGCAGAAGTTTCAACCCCCATATAAAGAATTATTCTAAAATACCTTCCTGCAGCCTTCTTACCTTTAATTTTCTCTCAATCATTGTTATTTGAATTAGTTTGGCCCATTCTCCTTTAGACACCCTTTTACAATGTGGACAGTTCCTACAAATAAAATTAGAGTTATTGGGGGCATTGTCCATATATCAACAAGAATATAGAGGAATAATTAGCAATCTAGAACCATAGAGCTTGAAAAGACAAAGGCAGCACTAGGTGTGGCACTCATTTTTTTTAGTCCCAAAACTGACTGAACTCAAAACAAAATCAAAATGATTTTTGTCTTCCAGTCTAGTTATGGGATTCCCTAGTGGTCTCCAATCCAAGTACTATTCAGTCTTCTCTTCTCTTCTCTTCTCTTCTCTTCTCTTCTCTTCTCTTCTCTTCTCTTCTCTTCTCTTCTCTTCTCCTCCTCTCCTTCCTTTCTCTTCTCTTCTTCTTTTCTTTTCCACTAGCATTGCTAGATGCTTCTACCTGCTGAAGGCAAGCCTCAAGAGTAGTTGTTTATTCTTTTATTAAAAGTCTTCAATGTTTGAAAGAGCATAAATAGAGGGACACAATTTGAGTGGTATGCCATGTGCCACATGTCAAAAAAGAATGGGTAAGGCGGGGGCAAACAACAGAAAAATCAACTGATTCCTTATGGATCAGTTATTGCTTGGAAAGAGAAAGCAGAGAATAAGATTAAACGGATGTTTTTCTCAGAGGTGGGATGAAAATTGTGGGGTCTCCGAATAATTGTTTTGGGACCAATATTCATAAATCATCTGGAATTTGAGGTGAGAAAGCAAACACCTAATTATTCAGGATTATTAAAAACATATGAAAAGCTCCAAAAGTCTATTTTCAAAATGGGGCAATTGGCATTAAAATGGCAAGTGTAGTTTAAAGTAAGCAAATGTAATGTGAGAAACCATGGAACAAAACATCCTAACTTCCTGAGTTGTGATAACTGACCAGAGAAGAGAACCTTAATTGCTAATGGAGAAGACTAGTCTCTGATCTAACTTTCCAGACACAATTCTGATATAGGCAGGCAATTGAATAAAAGAGGAATTATTTCAGTAGTTGTTGAAAATATTGATTATGTGCCTTCAAGTCTGTGTCAACTCTTAGCAACCACATAGATTTTCTCCAGAAGCTGAAAATATGCCACTCCTTAAATCAATGGAGGAAATATTTCTGTGACCCTGAGCTGCATTGGTTCTTAGTGGCCAAGAGCCACAGTCTATAGGACAGAGACGTCATCAAAGTGAGCCATGCAAGGACTTGGAAGGACTTTTTTTTATTAAACCTAATGAAAGCTTTTAAACTTGTTTTTGATTATTTGAAACTGAAAATGGGAAGAGATCATGTCACCATTTCTCAATGGTTTGCCACCCAAATTCACCCATGTAACTTCTGAGGACTATAAACAAACAAACAAGCAAACATGAGAGTGGTAGGATGCTTAACCCCACCTTAGTAGGGCTGGCTTTGACAACGTATTTTCTTTGAGTACTTATTAGCCATTTGAATATGAACTCAATTAAGATCTAATTTTGCAAGGACAAAAGCTCAAGTATGCTTTTCAGAAAAAGGAAATAATCGATTTCACCAATTATACTAACAGATGCCTAGTGCTATTTCTGTAATAATATGATTCAAGAGACATTCTGCCAGTTGTGTGGGAGACATTTAGAAATGGAAGAAAAGAATAATCATACCAAAAATATTATTTCTGACTAGCAAACTATGTCTGTACTCTGATTCTAAAAGGAACTGGAAATCTAAATATATCAGTGATTATTAAATTGTGGTCCATGGATCATTAATGATCTTGGAGTCCACTGCAACTTCTCTAGTTAGCTCCCTCATCACCTCACGTTTTGGCATCCAGCATTCACTGCCAGTCAGCTGGTTCATAAACATGGATCTGTGGCTGAAAAGGGGTTAATTGAAGCATACAAGAGATAATACAAGTGGCAAAGTCAGTACTGAAACTCAGAAAAGGGACAACAGTGAAAAAGTCTCAAGTGGAGTGTGTCTGTATGTGCTGTGCTAAGTGGAACTGTAGTCTTGCACAAGCAGATGAAAATGAAAAAGGAAAAGTGTGAATAAAAAGATGATTAATATCTAAAGATGACATGAGAAGCCACTCATGTCTATTGGTGTGTGCGTTTTATGTTATGCAACTTTGTCCAATGATGTCATGAAGCCTTCAAAGCTTTTGCAGCACTTTCAAATAAATAAGCACACTAGCAAGCCAATAGAGGTTTTCTTTCAAAATAAGTACAAAGCAATTCATTCTAGTCAGAAGGCAATATCTTTTGTTATCAAAGGTGGATTAAAAAAAATAAATAACCCGAGGCATCATTCAGGCATATGTTCCTTGTAGCAAAAGCAGGTAAAAAGTCATACCATAGGTGAAAAGCAACTTAATGACAAATATTATGCTCAGAGAGAAGATTGAACAAGCTATTAATAAAATTCCCTTGTATAATACTGTGCCATGTCATTCAAAATCCACAGCAGAAATATAAAAGAGTAAGAACTATCATACATGTGTGCTAGCAGACATTTTTGCATTATAGTTGTTTGATGACAATTAGGAACCCAGTAAAGATACTCTCCATGATTTCAAGTGACTTGCTCCAGTAATATACCTCAATGATATATTCACCTTTTCCTTCTAGGTCAAAATACCAATTTTTAATGCAAGTGACAAGACTTCAGCCTTTCTTTCACAAGTATGAATTGTGGTGCAAATGGCTTGACCAGCAAGATGTTGACTCATTCTTCATTCTAGGTGATTTTTTTCTCCACTGTTCAGCAGAAGAAATAGATGGTTAATACAAACATTGAAAAGACATGTGCGGATGCTGCAACAGAACCTTAAGGAATACTTTCCAGACCCAGACGTAACCAAAACATTCGCCATTGCCTTTCGAATTGAATTTTTTATCTTCCATCTTGTGAAGGCAATATGCTTGTGGGCTGAGCCTAAAATGGGTCTCAGTTGGAAATCTTTTCCAAATGTCTGGCTTGTGTATTCTGAATATCCAGAACTGTCCAATACAGCTTTCAAGCACCTACTGCCATTCCTTTTTTTTCTTCAGGTAATTACATTAAAGATTATAATTACAATAGTAAAAACTAATACAAACTAAGAGAAAGATAGAAAAATAGAAAGGAGTAAAAGGTGCAAAGGGAAAAAAAAAACTAGGAAAGACAGAAAGAAAAAAGAAAAGAAAGAAAAATAAGAATATAGTAAAGAAAAAGAAAAGAAATATATAAAGAAGTGACTCCCAACCTTCAGCACAAGTATAAGCAATTTTAGTAACTTTTTACCTCCTCTTAAATTACAACAAATAATCTGTTCTTCCCATATCCCATCTCTTATCTATAAACAAATCCATAAAGCATTGTCATTTCAGTCC